ACTATGACCCCGGTTTCCTTGTGTGGAACAAGCTCGCCGTCCAGGAATTGACGCGCAAGGAACAATCCTGCCCGGATGGGACCGTGATGTCTTTAGAAGTCTCCCCGGAGAAGAAGCTCCCCACCGCTCGCGGCTGGTACTGGGACTATTTCTCAATCCTCCGGCCGCCTGGGGGAGAAGGGGAAGAGAGGGTGAGGAGAGGTCTGAAGGATGGAGGGGGACACAACCCTTGCGGGAATCGTGTGTCCCCTTGGTGGTCGTTGGGTCTGGTTCCTGCACAAAGCGAGAAAAGTGTTTGGGACGTCTATGTACGGCGTCTGACTTCGAGCGCCGCTTTTGATCAAGAAGAGCCGCTGCCTTTCGCCGCGGAGGCCGGAGCCCGCCCATGCTGCAGCTCGACGTCCAGAGCCGCGCGCGGCGCCAGAGCCGCGCGCGGCGCCAGAGCCGCGCGCGGCGCCCGAAGGAGGCGCGGCGCCTGGAGGCGCCGAGACGCCGTTCACGGCTCCACACTCGATTGCGGCCGCGCGCGCCGGCAGGAGCGCCGCGGCGTTTGAGGCCATTCTGTGAGTCGGCGTGCTCGTGTCTTGGTTGTATCGGAGTCTTCCCTCGCGAACCAAAATTCTTTCGCCCGCACGTGCCCCGCCAGTCTGCCCGTGGGGCCTCGGTTGAGATGACCTCGTGAGCGGCATGCTCCACGGTTTGGCTCCTTCCTGCTCGCGGCGAGCTCGACGGCGCAGCTCGTGGGCAAGGTCGCGCTCAGCCAGGCGGTGGTACTGCGGGCCTGAACGCCGGCTTCTTCACCTTCGCCGTCCTCACCCACGACAAGGCGCCTCCAGCACACCTGAGCTCGGCCCTCGCCACCTCCACCCTCACCGCCTCCGTCCTCGCCAGCGCCTCCCTTGCCGCCTCCGTCCTCGCCGCCCTCACCGCCGTCGCCATCACATCACCGCCCTCGCCGCCACCCGCTCCTCCACCTACCTCACCACCTCTCCTCCCCCGCCCCTGCCAGCCGAACCTGCGGGTACCTGCATACCTGAGGGCACCTGAGGCTCAGCCCGCACTGCCTCCGCCCTCGCCACCACCGCCGCCGTCGCGAGATCCACCCCAGCCGCACCGAGGGCTCGGCGAAGAGCAGCGGCGCGCTCGGCTGCAAGCTGCAGCAGAGAGCGCCCCACCCGCCTCGATTGGGAGGGCTCAGCCGCGGGCCCAGGCGCCTCCTTCTCCTCCGCCTCCCCCCCTCCCGCCTCCCCCCCGGGACCGTGACGAGAAACCTTGCGTGTCAGCCGAGCTGAGATCGCGGTGCGGACTCCTCGCCATGCTAATCCCGAGTCCAAGTCTGGGCCTGTCCCCCTCCGTCAACCCCCCCCCCCTCCCCTTCCCGCCTACATACCCCCTCGGCGCGGGCGGTGACGACTGAAAACTGTTGCGTTCCAGAGGGGCCTCACACGCTCTGTGCGGATCCAACCTTAAGATATC